GGATAGCAGCACTTTGGACCCGCTGATACGCACACTGTAACCTAATGACCAATTACTGGCACTTCTGATAACCATATCCATACAATCATTTTAGTTAATAAGTTTTCATTCTTATTCCGAATAATAATGTTCTTGAGGGATTATTAAAGCTTTAGACTGCTACTACGTCAACAAGTATAGCGGAAGCAAAATACCACATTACTATTTCAACAATCTTAACCACTAATTTTGTTTCAGTTTTGGTCTATATTTTGCGTAATAACACGAATGTGTGTGTATTAACAACATTCTAGAAATATGTGTACATATTGAATCCTATGGGTACATCCTCAGAGTGGCAGAGCCGCCAAAATAACGAATGAAGTTAGTAGACTACTCGTGTAGAACGCTGGACTTCGATTAAATGATTTTAAATTATATTATATTGCCTACTGTACTGAATGCATTATTTTATTTTTAGATTTTAACTTTTTTCCATATATGAATTTGTTTAATAAATGCTGCTGGAGGCATTTAATTTTTTTTGTAAAAATTCTTGTTAAAAGTGATCAATAATATTATTTGAAAACTAATTAAATATGTCAAATCTAAAACTTTTTGAAATGTAGTACAGAAAGCAGTGCAACGCCAGTCCTTCACTTAAAGGTTGCTATTTGTCCACGAAACATGTAGCGAATTGTTTTACGTCTCAGTATCTGAGCGGAAATTTCACGTGTAATTATTGTTTTAACTTATTAATTATTGTGCGCTGAAGGGTATATAAAACAATGAATATTTTGAAGGAATGTACCTATGTCATGAAATAAAAAAACTTTTGCAAGAAATAAAATCCAGGACAGGTTAAACTACCAAATATTTATAGGCTATGTCTTAATAAAGAAATGAGAGATTAATAACACAGTATCAGTGCGATGTTATATTAAGACACACAGTGAAACATATTCATAAGAGAAATATTGCATATTTTAATTGAATCATAGTACAATTAGAAATTTATTATGTGGCTCAACTGGACATATCACATTCCAAGACTGGAATTTGAAACATATTAAAATAAAACCACCACGAGTAGATATTCAGGAATATTTCTGCAGAGATGGACACCAGAAACAGGTCACGAGACGTAACGCACGATACTAAATAACAACTTATTTTCTCCTCTGAATGTAGCGGTTTGTAATATTTGAATTCTACAAGAACATTTCAATAGTCATTTATTAAGATGTCAATATATAAAGAAGACGTTCTGTATCGTCTACAGCGGTAGGCCATTTCCTTAAGAACTCCGATAAGAAGGAAATCACCCGCGGTTCCTAGGTTATACTTGTTTCCCGATGTTACATAACGTGCGCGCATGTACCATTACTGAAATATGCAGATGTCTACCGAGTCAATATATTCCTTTCTTTATTAAGAATACTTGCAACTTCTTTTCCTTCCGTTGCCCCGGAAATGTTTAGCAGAACATACTTACCAAATAAACAGACCACAATGAATAACGGTGAATTATTTAGAGACTTGAGTAGTTCGAAATTCAAATCCTGCGTAAATAAGAAAACTGAAATGTTATTGGAATCAAAAAGTACCTTCAACTCTTCAAAAATCTTTTCTGCTAAACAATGGCATTTATACATCAATAATTCTATCGGCGATATTCCGGTCACGACTCGTCCAAGGGGATAACGCAGCCTGTAACATTTTTCTATTATTTCTGCACCGTTTTTTATTTGTTCTTAAAACGAACCTAGCTACATTAACCGCTACAGTATATGATCACAGCGGTGCTATCTACGTCTTTGTCGGTCGTGAAGCGTTCAAACACTGGGATCGCGGGTTCGAATATTGCTGCGGACATTGAAGTATATTTGCTTTTTCTGTGTTGTATTCCGATTTTCCACCTGTGGAGTGGAATCAAATGTTCAAGCAGTTCTTTGCTTCGTAATTAGTTTCGAATCGGCAGAGGCCATAAGACCTGTCCCGTGTTACCTCAAGATGATAATGTAGAAAGGTTAACTGGTTGGAGTGGTAGTATCCTGCTTTGTTTAAAGAATGTTACCTCAAGATGATAATGAAGAAAGGTTAACTGGTTGAAGTGGTAGTATCCTGCTTTGTTTAAAGACATTTATATACAAAAAAAATGTGTTTTGTAACAAGTCCAGTGCACTGCCGGATGGGAAACCTGCTGATCGTGATGTAGTTCATTATTACTGTGGATGTGGTTAACTGAGAAGTTCTACTAGTAGCTGGATGGTGTCGTTGGCCTTAGTGCTTCCTCGTTAACTCCTCCGGGCGATATAGTCCGGTTTCTTTGAACTTTGAATCTACAAATGGACGCGAGTTAATTTCTGTTGCAATGTCTTGATCGGCCGGTTAAAATAACCGGTATTTAAAGTGACTTTACCTACTGAGCATTGTTAATGTTGTGAACACTGTTTGCAAAACATTAAACTTGAATTGACGCCAAGAGACAATGCACACTATAGGGGATAACTGCACAGTTTTCTGTCTGAAAACATTTTACCAGTCTACTATGCCCTCTAGTTGTTTGTATTTACGATTCACTTTGAAGTTTCACAGACAACCGTCAGGTTTGACTGGCGTGATAATTTCACTTTTCAAAAGTTGCATTGATATAATAACAGGCTAGCATTAAAAGGAATACTAACGGACTGTACTATTTGACGTGTAACGGGAGATGAATGAGGTCGTGAACCATATCCAAAACACAGAATTAAAATTAAAATTATTAGCTCCTGACGAAATGGCACGATCATATTATAATTAATTTATGTTAGGCAAGTAAGTCACAAGGCAGCGAGCTATATTTAACTGGATTAGAGTAATTCTCCTAACCAGGGTTTTGAGTTCTACACCAACACAGATTTTGTGTAGACTTGATATGTAGGATTTGAGGTTTTCACTACCGTGACTCTGAAGATTGCTGTCTTCTGGATTGTTACGCCGTGTAATCTGGTGGAAGTTTACCGACGTTTCAGAGGTCCTTGCTGCCTTCATCATCAGGGCTCATGGCCCTAATGATGGAAACAGCAAGGACCTCCGAATGTTCTACCAGACTACACGGCGCAACAACCCCAAGACAGCAATCTTCAGACTCACTGCCGTGAAAACCTTAAATCCTACAAGGATGGCCTTTATATATTTCCGGATGTATTCAGTCCCATGTCTCAGTTCATGCGTCATGTTATTTTAAGCTGCTGTGTTGAATAAGTGGCATGGTCCATGGTGCCTTATTTTACTTCATTGGCCGTATTTAAACATGTTTTTTAATGGATGAAAAAGTAGCAATAATTTGTCCTACTGGTGAAGCCATCCATTCATAAATCACTGCTGGAGCTGAATTGGTCAGCTGATAGGTCAATACATTAACTATTGAACCCCAATTATGGCTGTAAATCCGCCCACAAATAAGTGGCATTAAAACAGTGACTGACGTTCTTGTTTTGTGGCATTATGAAAAAGATAAATGTTGGGGTTATGTGAGATTATCGTGAATAAATATAAACACATTTTTTCGTTTCGTTAGCGCATGGTCCTGTAATTTCCGTATTTGATTTGAAATGGAAATTACAACACACTAGCTGTATAATCATGTATCTGAAACACGACCTCATTTTTAACTAGCATGGTAATTAAATGACTAAAAATCTCTTCTATGGTACTCTTGGTAAGTAATCAGGCCTTAATTAACACCTCCAAAAAGAACAGGTCCAAATAATTTGGCCATTTCAAGGGAGAGTTCATCAGCACTGTTTCTGCAAAGCATTGGGAACTATTGACATCCTTGGAGTTACTCATTTAGTCGCAACGGTAAAGCAGCGCAGAGGAACAGGGAAATTTGTACCTGGACCAGATCATGAAATTTTGAAATCAGAAGCACCTAGACAAGTGAACATATCTCTATGCAAAATTTCTGCACAGTATGAAACATGGAGAAATATGGGTCTAGTTGCATGCATACGTAATCCTGAACGGGGTTCGAACCCCGGTCATGCACCTAGTAGCCAGTTACTACATTTGCAGAGCCATTTCAAGACACCTAAGGTTCCTTTTATATTTTACCATAGGCTTTGTTTAGATGTAATAACGCCTTCATATTTTGTGATTCATTTGTTCCCTTAATTATTATGACATATTTCGTCTTCATTCAGGATTTTTGCTCCTTAAAACGAAAATAAAGCAAAATTAAAACCGTGTCTTGAACTCTGTCCTTATTCATAGGCCTGAAATTAGATGCAACTGTCTTAAATTTTATCTTCATACACAATCTTGGAAGTAGTTGACACCAATTAAAACTTTTGAGCAGTTACAACTTCAAGCTGTTTTGTGAAATAACAATCCTATCTTGTATGAAGTGTTCGCGTTGGAAGAATGTAATGAAACAGCATCAGCGGCGACAGTTCTGAACAGAAGTGCCTAGCGGCAATAAAAACAGGTCTACACAGTATGAATATTTCTGTCTTCTGGGCTGTTGCACCGTGTTGTCTAGTAGATGTTTACCAACGTTTCAGAGGTCATACTGCCTCCATCATCAGGACGATGAATCGCCAAACTTAAAATCTGTTTTTGTTGTTTTGCTACGTATTATTATTTTTTCTTTCTGCTAACATCTATCTGCCGACATTTCTCTTTAACTATGTACTTTACTTCGTCCTAAAATAATAATTTTATTTCCATATCACTTTTCTAGCCTTCGACGATATAGAATTTAAATTCGGGTATTTGTTCGATAATTTTGCAGTCTAACATACAACTAATTAGGCTGTTTTACTCCAAATATTTCCGTGTCTTATCATGCTGTAAATTATAAACAATTATGTCCATCGTATGTCAGTACAAAAAAAAAAGAAACAATTATGTGGTCAGTGAAATATCAATAACGAATAAATTTTTAGTATTTAACTCGGTCTTTGCCTCAGAAACTAAGGGGAAAACTCAACAACAAAAAGGATGGAATTGAAAGAAACAGCACGTGATCCTACCTTCTCTGCTTCCTTGTGCAGTCCCGTCTTCAAGACCTAGTCAGCTCATGCCTTCAAGTAATGTCTGGCGCTTCCAATTCGGACTGAAGTCCCGTTGCTTGCTTCGGATTAACGTCGAATCACTGTTCGTAGCTCGTGGCTGCACTGAGCAGCAGAGCTGGTTCACTTAACGTTGTAAAGGGTGAAATTTGTGGTGTTCTCCCCGCCTGGAACATTACAAACACCAAGCTAGATATTTAGGAGGAAGGGTAATCCCTACATCTGGTAATTATTATCCGCTTCTACGAAATCGCAGTCTGGAATAACTCGAAAGAATCCTCAACTCTTCTTGCTTCAACTTCAATGAATAAAAGGTTTCGAAGACATTTTAGTGTTGCTGGAATGTAGAGATTTTATTACCTATGTGTAATTTGGATTACGTATGTCGTCTAACAAAAATGTAAACATCATATTATTCGAAACCATAATTTTAACAGTTGTTTTATATAAATACGAAACTTGATCTCTCACTGCGAGTAAATAACAGGATAGATCGAGGGTGTTTGAGAACGAAATGCCGAGAAGAATACGTGGGACTCTTAATCGATGTGAAGTAACAGAAGGAATATAGAGAAAACTACGCTTTCACCAGACGTTTTTAGGGCTAGGGTAGGAGATGTTGAACATGCCTGTATTTTATCGAACTCCTGGTCTTCCAGTTTATATCTACGACATTCACCGACATACTGCTTTGAAGCACAGTCAAAACGTTACCATTCACATGCAAAAATAATGTCATTATAATCAATAAAATCATCAGAACCCTGATGATGGGGACAGTTGGTTCCCGAAACGTCGGTTTACTACGGTAACCAGTTAACGCGGCTGATTGTCCGAGAAGATTTTATTGATTGTACTCGCCGCGAAAGTCTCATATCCTATAATGTCATTATACTTCCATTAAATAAAATTTAATTCTAATTTAAATGTTTGCATAAACAAAAGATAGCGAAGTTTTTTATTGCATCCTTCGTGAAACCAGAGCAATGGTCAGAATGTTCAAATATCTCACGGAGATAAGGCGTAGGGAGTCCTGAACGAGCATACGTCACGTCCATATTTTGTTTTTCTATCATGTACTCTTGCGTATCTTAACCCAGAATCCGTCAAACATCGGGACAAATTACGTCAAATTCTGAATCACTACAGAACTGACAACTGAATAACATAATTCCAGAACGTATGGGTTCCATCTGTTTTCTATCGCCTGTATCATTGATGTGTTTCTTCAGATTTGAGGCTAGAAATTTCGATTTCATTCCGCTGGCATCGAGCGTGGAGCGGTTGTGTTCAAAGGCCGATATTCGATCTCTTCCCAGTCCCTAGGCGCCCCCTGCCGTAACATCTTGCAGCTCATCACATCTGTTTCACCACGCTGATATCATAGGTTATACAGAGTGTGATACGATGAAGTATAGGAACAACATACTGTCCACAGATGACGAGAAAAAACCCTGCTGGTGGAAGTCGTTTCTGGTGCGGTGCGGGGGGAATGTTACTTATCAGCTGGACTAGAGGGCTGCTATTGGTGGGAAGTGTGATACGTCAGAGGTTTACACTACTACACACAGACTGAAAACATCAAGCCGTTAAGAGTTGCGTGTAGTGAGTGCACCTCTAATGTGTTCTGTGGGTGTTGCGATAATATTCTAGATTAAATCACTGTGCCGCTGTGAGGTAATCTTAAAGCTGTACCCATTAGAACACATGAAAGCCTGTCGTCTGTTGTTCGTTCAGTGGTTGTGGAACGAATGCTTTTAGGATGGGTCGTCACTCACCGCGAAATCTTGCGCATGCGCGTATATCGAATTCCTACTTGTGTCAGTTTTGTAAACACATTACGCACTGAGTTCGTTTCTCCATTAATATACTCGTAAAAACCTCGATAATATTTGGTAAACAGTGCAAATTATTCATCTCATTACATTGTTCTCAGAGACCTTCATTTATGTTCGTGTCTCGTGGTGAGAGACAAAGACCAACTCCTAAAATATTCGAGCTGCCTTCTAAGGCTCTTTCCGCCGTTGGAATTGTCTTGCGTTCAAGCACCACAATACTCATGGGGGCAGCACGGGAACGCCGACGGACTGAAAGAGGCTGCAATAGGCTAGAAGTTTTGGGCCTGCCCATGTTTACAAGTGTACGGCTGAGCTGTTCCTAAAACATCTAACATGGCGGTTCGTCGTGACCTACATTGTTCTTCGGCTTTCAGAGGTACAGGGTACAACAACGTTTCATTTCCATGGGGGCTCCACCGCTACGTACATGGATAACACCAGTCTGTCTTAACACAACCGGAAGGAGTGGCGTGTCGTTGGTTCGTTGCACCATCTAATGTTAGGAGAAGGCTCACAGCAAAGCGCACAGCAGGCTTAATAATTTAATAAGGAATGAGCTCAGAGACATCTACACAGCGCTGTCTCTCTCCGTGAACTCAGTGATAAACTGCCGCATCCACGGCCTCTCCTCTTCGTCTTCGTTACCGTCCTAGCAAGTAGAAAAGGGTCGGACGATTTGCACATGGAAGGAAGCAAAGTGGTGGACTAATGGACGTAACAGTGAGGCGTTAATTTGATCCCCAGCATAGACTAGTGATCTGTCATCTCTCGTGAACCAACAGACCCCGACACGCCCTCAGCCGAGGCGTTCAGTTACACCAGCTGCTGGATGGTGGGCTGACACGCGTCACTGAACTCTGCGGTCGGTTTTTTTTTTTACTGCGGTGATCCGCGGATCGAGACGGTGACCGGAGCCACTTCTCTCTGGTGATAGAACGATCCTCCCAATGTCTGATTACGTTGTTAGTTCACTTTCCTTATTTACTGCGTCGCTTCTATCTGTCCAACTTTATATCTTTCAATTCATCTCCCTGCTCACCCATCCATCTCTCTTTCAATACGTGCATCCGTACAGCCACCATCCAAACATCCATGAGTCCATCAGTCAACTTAGCCATGTTTCTTCTCTTCATAAACTGCGATTTTTACACAATATGAAACTATTAATACAATTTTTATTTTTAGCTGAAAATTTGTTGTTACACGGGTGGCATTTACGTAACTGCAATATTCAAAAGACATCTCACAGTGGACCCACGCTTCTTCCTTGTTCTCAAATTGACTAATAGGACCACACGAAAGCTGAACCAAAGGTATCGATAAGACAGCAAAACGAGGAGGAAATTAAATCTAACCAAGGGAAGGATCATCAATCAAGATGAAGAGAGAACTCGAAGGAACGGAATGGACAGAGCTGGAGGTGTAGAAGCCACAGGCCGACCGAGCAACCTGTTCCTACTGCCTCGGCATCACGTGGCCTGCGTTCAGCACTAGACCGCGGATACCGCTTGTACTTTTTTCAGAAGCACGTGATCTTAACAGCTCCAGACTAGGTCTTCCAGCTCAGTTAAGAAGATTATATTTCACTCACCGCTCACACAATTAGCTTCTCGGGAAATGGAGTAAAGACGTCAGATTCTGACGATCTGTTCCACGTGTTCTCTCTCTTACGCTTCTACTTGAACTGCAAAGTTACACTGCTCCAGCTTGGAAGTGGGGGGGGGGGTGCTACCGTGTATTGGAAATGTATTATGGAAGTGATGTCCAATGGTAAATATAAGAGGCTTGGTTTGTGAAGACAGAAGAAGAAGCTTTGCAAGTGGGCAATTACACCGTTCTGCGCAAGTATTAATAATAATAACCAAAAGACAATAACAACAATCATTATAGGTCGTGCCATAACTTAAGCAACCAGACGCTGGGCCGACAAAGCAGCACACTGTTATACCCACTGTCCTCTCTGACTGGCATTACAGTTTATTACTGTTTGCTCCAAATTTAATGCCCAATGTCCGTCACGCGTTACTGGACGAGAACGCATTAGTGCGACGCGGAAAAGACTGAAGTTAAGTTCTGAAAGTGGCGACTCTGGAAGCAAGAAATGTTATCGTGTGGGGTCTGGCGGAGTCTGCGTTAGGTAGGAGTCTGAGAACCATGAAGATTATTTTCATATTCAATTTATTTTATGAAGCAATTATATAAATGTTGTACTTTCTGTTGCAAAGATAATGCTGTAATAAACTGTATTACTTTTCAACACGAAAAGTTTCATTCCCTTCAACTTTGAAGAGCCGTACGCTATGCTAGTTGCAAAATAATGAATAAGTTCATAATCGCACTCACGTGAATGTAGAAAGGCGTTTCCTTCCGTTCTATCTGTCATTTGCTAACAAATCACATACGTTACAATGCATAAAGCGATTCATGTCCACAACTGTTTCGTGGTGAGACTGCCATACTTACACGGTTTGATGCCTACAACGATCCAGTACATCACTACGAGGCGTCACGATGGTATAAATAATAAAAATTATGTGTGAAGCCGCGTAATTTCGTTTTCTAACCCAAATTTAATTATAGTAATATTCTCTTTACTTGATCACCTTATTACGCACTTCTCTTAATCCTTTTCCTTCCACTTTCTTAGGCCCAAATATTTTCCTCGACTCTTTCTTCTCTCTTAGGTTGCGAGGCCCAACAGCTCTTCGGTAACAGATCAAAACGTTAGCACTTGGCGCCTGTTAAACCAAACACTAATTCCACTGGGGAGCTTTAAGTGGGCACTTATTATTACGATTATTTGAGAGAAGCTATTCAGATCAAAATACGCAGAGAACACCCTTGTTGATGCAATCATTCGCCTGTTTGTGATCACCACTATAATGACAAGGAAGCGTTTCTCCACTTGAAAATGTACAGTATTACATTACAAGCTTCTGGGAGGTACGGTGGGGTAGAGCAAAGTAAATAACCACAATTGAACAGGTTCGTACGTTCCTCGTTACATCCCTCTGGGTGTTTCAGTAATATAAATTGGGCCGAGAGACATGTACTGCAAAACGACAGTGTATTCAGCCTGGATGTCAGAGACTCCAGGAGGCATTGAAAGCGTAATGTTCACAACTTTAAGCTGAAGCTCTTTGATACCGAAACAGTACAGAGACTCAGAACTTTCTAAATACGATACACAACACTCGGAGTTCCTGTCAGCTGGTCATTACACAAGCATGGGAGTTGCGTCCTTTAAGTTAACCATTATTCTGATCGTTTTATTCCGTTTGTAAATTCACGGAAGATGATGGCATTC